GAAAAGAGACATATGATTAGCTGGATTTTAAAAAGTCATGAGGTTGAGCAACTCTATTAACAACTTTCTACTGCAATAAACAATCAAATCTCAAACTGCTGCATTTTGCTGACCCAGGGCCTTTACAGACTGCAGAAATAGTGCAGCTTGAGGCCACTTTAACTGTCCTGACTCAATGCTAGGGAATCATGGGAATTGTATTTTTTTCTGGGACATTGAGCCTTCTCTGTCAGAGAGCTCTGGTGCCACAATAAACTACAGTTCCCATGTTCCTTAGACTGAGCCAGGACAGTTAAAGTGGCCTCAAGCTGCACTATTTCTGGCAGCCTGTAAAGCCCCCTAGTCAAAGCACAGGTTGGGCTGAATTAGGCATCATTTCACATAACGTATTCCAGTATGGTTTCATAGGTGCTCCGTTCTATGGATGAGCTTTGAGTGGCTGCAAAAGCAGTATAGCTGATGAGAGTTGGCAACTCTTGGTTCCTTGGCCAAATTCAGCCCCTGGGAGCAAACTGTCAAAGCTCCATAATAGACAATCCAGAGAGGCAAAGGAGTACAGTCGGTCTTTGGTATCTGTTGGGATTTGGTTCCAGGACCCCCATAGATACTAAAATCTGTGGATGCTCAAGTCCTGTTAAATACAGTGGTATAGTAAAATGGTGTCCTTCATATAAAATGGAAAAATTAAGGTTTGCTTTTTGGAATGTATATATTTTGCTTTTTGGAATTTATATATTTTCAAGCTGTGGATGGTTGAATCCATGGATAAGGAATTTGTGGATATGGTGGGGCAACTGTAATATGGAAGGAAGTTAAGCTGTTGTCATGTGACATGATGACAAGCTCCTTTACAGGTGAGTGGATGTCCCAATTCCTAGAGGACAAGTCCCAGTGACAAAGTCAAGTAGTTCAAATACAGTACCAGTAAAATTCACACACCCAGCAGACACATCAGGTAGAGACTTCAAAGCTGAGGTCCAGGAAACAGAGCCAAGGTCTTAACAAACAAAGTCCTATCAGAGAGTTAGGAAAGTTATTGATGGTAACTCTCCAAAGGGAGTTTAAATGAAATCCAAATTTTTCAACAGTACAAATTCAAAATCAGTGATATAAGGAAGGAGGAAATATAGAATCAAAATTGGGAAAGTGGCACATTTATGAAAAGAGTAATAACAGAAGAATGACAGAAAATGGTCACCTCATAGCTTGGCTTGGCTTGAATAGTTAATCCATTTATAAACTTGTTTACAATGTATTCAGTGCAACTTGCAATATATAAAATATAATCGACATCAGAGATGAATAAAAAAAAATAGCTATTTAACCAAAAATAGGGATGTCATCTCATTAGTGAAACACACATGCATAAGTCATACAATGCATATGAGGCAAATTATTTACCATAAATTCTGTTGATTGCATTGGAAGTGAAGTTGCACATAAAGCAACACTGAGCATTGCAATTGTCTATTGTGGTTCTGTATTGTGATAGCACGTTGCAGTTTCACATTGTGCATTGCACACTGCACTTTCACATTCCAAAAAGTGGGCAGGAGGACCATGTATGACCCTTTCTGGAGGTTATTCCAGAATGTGAGCATTACAACAACAACAACAAACCCTTTATCCCTGAAAGTCATCTACCACATCTCCACCAGAGAGCCTCAGTAGAGGAACAGCAGAGGACAAGCAGTTTGGTAGGAGAGGAAGATGTCCTTAAAATGGTGACATTTCCTCATCAGAACTGTTGGTGTAAACTTATCCTAACTTGAACCCCACAATAAAGGACAGAGATTTTATTTCCATTAGCAAATTGAATAGATGGTTGAACTAAAGCAGCTTTCACAGATCAGTTTAAGACTAGAAGAGCAGAACTGTAGTGACTACAGTGGGCAGAGGATGCCAGACGCTGCCTGATGTCACTGTTGAAGAAATCTGAAGCAAATCATTTTCTGTGCAGGTGTGTTTAGGAATATTTGTTCAACCAACAAAGGAAGCTATTTACATGTTCACTGCTGAAGCTTTGAATGTGGGAAACAGACCTACACTTGGTAATCTTCAAACAACACTACTTCTCTTAAAAAAAAGAGGGAGGGGAAGGAAAACCTTCCTGGGAGACAGAGCAATATTCTGAGTCCCAGTTTGTGAAAAGGGCAGAACAACAACATCAACAACAACAACAACAACAATTGTCCTGGTCTCAGGGGGCTGTCCACACAGCTTAAAAGAAGCAGCATCATCCCTGTATAAAACCTACCTGTTCCAATGATGCACATGGCCAAAATGAGAGGAAAATGGAAGCAACCTACACTCCGGGAGTAAACATCAAAGTGAAAAACATTCTGGTTTGCTCTGCTCCAAGTTGGAAAGTGTGAACTATGTACAGACTACACACCAGTCAGGAAATGGTCTGAAGCAGGCTAGCCACCAGCACCATTGTTGGCCATATATATATATATATATATATATATATATATATATATATTTGTCACCAACCCGTGAATCTATTGCACAAGTGCATGAGAGGGCAGCTGCACCATCAACCCACTGCACACCCTATGGAGTGAAATGACAAACTTATCAGGTTACATACAATACAATGTATTTAATAAAGACATTAACAAACTGGCCAGTCCATCAGGAAGCCATAGAGGAGAAAGGAGATGTGTACAGGGGGGCACCATGATCATGCTGTGCCAATCATGTGTGGCTAAGCACACTGATGCACCATACGGGCAATTGGTCAATCATGCAATTGAGAAACCAGTAGCACTGGGCATCCAATGGGTTGGTAGCTGGGTGAGATGGGCACTGGGAGCTGTTGGTGGAGTGTCTATGTGCTCATGTACATGTGTTTGCTAAAAAATGGAAAAAATAATGGTGTGAGACAGCTTGTATCCATGAATGCTCCATTTTGGCGGGTCTTTCCTTGCAGCGGGAGGGGGGGCAATGCAGTTGTTGTGCCATTGTGGGAGTTGGCAGTGCAGTCTGTGGTTCTCATCATGACTCAGGAAACCCCAGGGGTAAGCTGGCTTTTACTTTCCATCTGCTCCCAGCCCTAGAAGGTGATGCAGATCCAAGTACAATCCTAGTTTCTGCCCAGAATTCAAAACATTCAACTAAAAGCCTGCCAGCATTTGAAATTATATGAGCTTGCCTTTTAACAAGGCAGTACAGAGCACAACCAACAAAAATATTGAGGGAGGAAGAAAATGTAACAATTCAAATAATATAAGAAACAGCTAACAAAGGTAAGATTTCACTCCCTTCATTTATATTCAGTTGTATTCATTGCCTCTATTCCTGGGTGATCCAGACAACTTTATGTTGTCCTCTGCACAGTAGTTAATCCTTAATATCTTTACTCTTAAACAAACCCTCTTGTGTCCTATGGTTTCCCAATCAATGTCTTTAGAACTGTACCCTGAATGTACTATTCTAATTTACTTGGTTCCCTGGTATCTCCTTTTATAACCCATATCATTAGAAATAAATAAGCATAAGTAAGCATAAATAGGCGTTATAAATAGTATTTCATTTAAACATAAGTTCCATCAGTTCTTCTCATAGTTTAAATTTTGCACAATTTGTATGCAGAAAATGATTAACACCGCAAAGCCCTTCATATCTTTGCTGACGGGGAACCAAGAGCAAAACTTGGAAGTAAGGCATTAGAATTAACAGTGTTAAAGAAAGAAACATTCTTTTAAGAAGAGGAAGAAAAAGAAGTAATGAATAGTAAAAGTTGCTACTTTTTATGTGTAACAAGTGATATGTCAAGTATTACTTGTTTCAAGTACAACAACCATTTATTTTGATCATTGACCAGCATATAAATAATGAATACAGTCATTAAGACCAGGAGGAAGATTAACCTCTGCCATCTAACATCAATGAGTATTAACCATTTGAAGATGCATCTTACACATAATGTAGCAAAATTTTGCTACTAAGTATAACACTTTGGTCCTGATTATCCAACAGATAGTGTAAGTAAATAAATAAAAAACATCAGAGTGTCCTAGAAATTTAGTTAAAAGGGAGATAATCAGCTGCTGGTGAGTATCCTTACAAAACTGGCAATATGAGCTGTAGTTTCCATAGCACTAGTATCACAAGGACAAATTGGGGTTCATAGAAAATTTCCCCATATTTCCCTTCCAGTACTGTTGTTGGGAGAACATTGAATCAAGCTGAATTTAGGAACTAGTGTGATGGAGCTGTTAGGGTGCTAGACTACCCAGAGTTTGATTCCTGCTCAGCCATGAAACCCACTGGGTAACCTTGAGCAAGTCACACTCTCTCAGCCTCAGGGGAAGGCAATGTCAAACCTCCTCTGGACAAATCTTGCCAAGAAAACCCCTGTGATAAGGTCTTAGGATTTCCATAAGTCGGAAAAATGACTTGAAGGCACACAACACCAACAACACAACATAATATAAGCATTTGGCAGGATTAGAAGCCAGCATTTGATTGTTTGCAAATGTATAATTGGAAAAGGCAGCAAAGGAAAAATTTAGCATATTCTACTTGTTACACATAAAATGTGTAACTTGTCATTTGTTACTTGTTATACTTGAAACTATACTTTCTAGTATAACAAGTAACAAATAACAAGTCACATAATATACTAACTTTTTCTTTTATTTTTGAGGTGTGAAAAAGCTTTCTTGGAGTTGATTTCCTCCCTATCGGCTTTTTTATTTTTACTGTCCGTCTTTCACATCTGTATTTGGTGATGGGGAACACAATGGCTTGAATGAGCCTCACTTCTTGTTCAGAATACAAAGGGATCTTGTAGCAGCTTTGAGACTAACTGAAAGGAAGAACAGCAACACCCCAAATCCACAAAACAGTGATACCTTTATTGGTCAACACAAATGCACAAAATACAGTTTGCAAGCTTTTGAAGCTCCACTTGGTTTTTCCTTAGGTAACAATATTAAAAATCATAAAAAGAAAGAAATTAGTAGCATGAGCTTTCGTAGACTTGAGCCTAGGGCCAATGTGGTAAAGTGGTTTGAGTGTTCGACTAGGACTCTGGAGACCAGGGTTCAAATTCCAGCTTGGCCATGTAAACCCACTGGGTGACCTTGGACAAGTCACAGACTCTCAGCCTCCTCTGAAGAAACTTGCCAAGGAAACTCCATGAAATGACTTGAAGGTGCACAACAACAACAAGAAAAAGCCAAATGCATCTACAGTTGTCCCATCCAACTCTGTACTCTGCAACTCTGGAGACGAGGGTTCGATCCCAGCTTGGCTATGAAACCCACTGAGTGACCTTGGGCAAGTCACACTCTCTCAGCCCCAGAGGATGGCAATGGCAAACCCCCTCTGAAGAAAGTTGCCAAGAAAACCCCAGCCTTAGGGTTGCCATGAGTGGGAAACAACCTGAAGCACACAACAGCAAAAGACTTGAGCCTACTTCCTTCAGAGTTGGATGTTTAGTGTCCAGAGTCTGTAGGATGTTAGGATCTTGTTTTGATCCCTACATTTTCTCAACCACTTCTCCAGACTCCTTCCTCACCAGCCCTCTGCCATTAGATTACAGACAGCGTCCTGCAAAAACGTGAGGTAATTTTTCTGACTGAAAAATTGTGTTCCAGAGGCAAGCTTTAAAATAAGAATAATAATAATAAAAAAAGGCAGGAGGCAATGTGCAGGAAAGAGAGCAGCAAGAGAGTTGCCCTCACCTCATGCTGCCTGACTAGCATAGCAAACAGGGTGGCCAGACTTGGTCCTCCTTTTCCAGGACGCGTCCTCCATTTCCACCTTCTGACCAAGAGGGATTCCAACAGGTCCTCCATTTGGCTAAGAAGCACTTTCAAGGTGACCAGAG